ATTAAAAAATATATTAAATACGTTATTAATTTATAGTATGATTAAACATAAGTTAGAAAAATTCATCAATTAAACCCAAGTAGCCAACATCCTCTTTCAAATAAATTCTTCATTTCATGTTATATAATTTTACTTCTTTATTTAATTTTATTAGACTTAATTTTTAAATAAAATGTTTAAATTTAATTAATTATTTTTTTAGAATGTGTTTATTTTTATTTTAAAAAATAATTAAAACATATATTAAATAAAAAATTTATTTAAATACATAAAACCTATTATTAATGATTAATTATTTCCTACTATATATAGTTAAACAAATAAAGTGCGACTATTTTTTTTAATACGTCTCAATGTTCCATACTCTCATATGAGTTACACAATAGTTAATATTGAAGAATATATAATAGTCCTCTTATTTTTTTTAATTTCTCGATTGAGTTACATTTATGATTTGCAATTTACCAACTCAAATTCTTACAGGTTGAAGCTATCTCTCAAGGGTCCATTTTTTATTTATTTTTATATTAGTAGGTTTTTTTTAATTACATTTATGGTAGGGGCATCTCAACTTCCGTTACGTTTTTTTGACATTTTTAATTTTTTCTTTTGAAGAACTACGAACATTTTTATTACTATTTTATTTCTAATTTCACCCACTCTGCATGATTGGGAAAAACACTTCAATTCATTGGAGGAGAAAATTTATTTGAGAATATGAGCTAAACCCTTTCTTTTTTGGCCATTAGCTAACAGCCTAATTAAGTTTAGATAAAAATGGTGGAAATGAGATCTAGAAAATCCATTGTCAAAAATAAAACAAGATTATATAAATTTTTTTTTTTTGGCTTTTTCTTTATATTAAACACTTAGAGATAACTTATATATTTACTTATATTATCTTTATTATAAAAGTAATAAAAGATTAAAAAAATATATATTTTGTAATAAAATGAATAATTAAAATAAAAAGTAATGATGTTGTCAAATTAAGAAAAAAATATTTATCTAATTTAAAAATAAAAAATAACAATTAATTTATTATAAATTCAAAATAGAAAATAATTATTATTTTGAGATGAATGGAAAACTTCAACATAGGGTGCATTGTGTTTTTCTTTTTTCCTTGTTCTAAGAAAATGAAAATATTTGGGATGTAAATTTCTTTTAACAAAGAAAAATGTGTGGAATGAGCGAAAAAAATTTTAAAAAATAGTTTTATGCATTTTAGGTGGATCATGACTAATATGTACAAAAACAAAATGACTTAAAATCCTTCTAAAATTGAAACATAATTTAAGACTTGCTCAGATTCAATTGAAGTGTAATTTTAAATGAGGTTTTGCCTAACTTGTATTTTTAGGTTAATTAATATAATTTTTAACTATTAAATTACATAAATAAATTTTATTTTAATTTTATTAACTATCTAATTAAATTAATAGAAGCGGAATTAATACTAAATTTGATATTCCTTTTTTTTTTCATAATAATAGATTTTTTTATTTAGAATTTGTTTCAAAATACTATTTGTTTTTTATATTTTACGAAAGATAAATATTTTTTTCTACATTAATATTAACATTATATTTTGACTTTAATTATTCATCATATCATTAAAAAATCATTTTATTTTTTTATAAGAGTAAAATATGTAAAAAAAATTATTTTTAAATCTTTAATTTAAAGATAAAATTTTAAAAATATCTATTATTTTAAAATAAAAAAGTATTAGCTTTTTTTTAAAAAAAAATTTCATATCACTTTATAGCTAAAGGTGTATTAAATAGAAAAATCATTTTAAATCATCACCCTTACTTTCATTTTAATTTTTAAGCAACAGCAGCGTATGATTCGGTCGGTGCATTTTAGAGATACTTCGCGGTAACGGTATAACATGCGCTACCAAAGTTAGCAGTTTATCACCGGCTTCCATCACGGCGCATTTTAGCCCCCTTTGTTTTTTTTGTAATAAAATGGGATTTTCTACTTTGATTGGGAAAAAAAAAAAGAAGGGATTTTTCATGGCAGACGAACGAATGGCAAACGACCATCCCACGTGGCATTTGGCCCCACACTCGCTTTAGCGTTAGGCTGATAGATTCGATTGATCATATCCGTTGATGGGACTATCCGCATCTTCATGGCCATCATTCTGCCACGACTGTTGGCCCACATTTCATATCTAGCACCGAAAAGATGAAAAAGAGGCTCTATGATTGCCTCAAGTGGCAATGGGGCGCATATTAACAAAACATCCTAATTTTAAGGGTAGATTCTCGTTATTAAACTTTAATGGTTACTTTTAATATCTTTAAAAACATGTTAAAGATATAATTATTATATTTTTAGTATTAATTAATATTAAAAAATATAAAAAATTATTATTAATTTTATTTTTTAATGTTAGGTGAATTATTTTAATTAAATAATTATTTAAATAAAAATTAATTTTTTAATTGAAAATTGTTTTACGAAATGAACTATTTGTAATCCGTCTTGTAAAATTATTTAAATGTCCTTAATAAAACAATATAAAACTAAAATTAAAGATATTTAATTAATTTTATAAAGTAAAGTGCATGTAGTACGTCATGTAAAATAGCTTTTTTAATATCAATTAATATTAAAAATGTGCAATAATTAAATTTTTAAAACACATGTTAGAAAAATTTAACTTTAATTTAATTGCCAATAACTTAACCTAATAATTTTTTTATACAATATATGATAAATTATATAATAAGAAATACTTATTTCATTCCTTAATTTATTTTTGTTTATTTTAAAATTTGAATTTGAGATGTTTAATTTAAAATTTTTAGTTTTTAAGTATTTGGAACATGCTCTCACGATACCTAATAATTCATTCAGAATTAGTTGTCTTATTTTTTAAATCGGGATGAAATGATTTAGTCGTTTTATTTTTAATTTTCATAAGATATTACTCTATTTGTTTATTTATAATAAATTTAATTTGACTCATTGATTTTTCATATATAAATTTTATATAATAACAATTAAAATTTTTTGTTCTTATATGAAGTTATCGTCAAGTATTTTTATTTGATTAAAAAAAATTTCAATTATCATTTACATAATATATTAAATTTTCATTTAAAATTTACGTTTCAAAAGTAAAAAAAAAAACAAATTAGGCTTACTAAAAATGAGCCAAAAGAGTAAATACTAATATTTCAATTTTATTCCTATCTTATAAAAATAGAAATCCATTAGAATCTTTTATGTTTAAATGTAAGAAGAGTGAAAATGAAAAAATAGATATTAATCATTGTAGTTGTTTACAATATAAATTGCCAAAATTTAAGATCATGTAACGTGTTAAAAATTTTTAAATAGATGGAGAAGATTTAGTCATATCAGATATACAATTATGGCCCCATTACATATTAGGTGCCACATAAGAAAGAAAAAGATAGAAAGATAAAAAGATAAGATTTTATTTTTTAATTACCTTTTTGATTCAAATTGAGTTTGTTTTAGCTAAAATTTAAGAGGTAGTTTCAATTATGAGTGTGGGTTATCAAATAATGAAACATGTGGCGAAATCTGAGGGTAATCTGACCCTATCAACCACTGAGGTGTCCATTTCATCAAAAAACTAACCATGATTTGTTTAACTGCAGAAAGTGGGGGTTGCATGTAGGGAAGAGGAGAATAAAAGGAAAATTTTTGTTCATTGAACACACGGCGAGCCCCTACACACAACCTATAAATTTTCAGACTTTCAATTTCTTTATGATTGCTTGCAAATTTCGAATTTTAGCACAATTCCTAGTAGATTTAGGTTGTTTTTCATCATTCCCGTAGTCAAATTTGTTCATGTATTCACTTTAGCAATTTCGTTTCATGTAATAAATTTTAAGCATTTGAATTTCTGTAAAATATTGTTTTTTTTCTGACTGGAATTAGTTTAATGTTTATAATAAGTAGTGTTTCATTAAATGATTACTTATATGATGTTTGCGCTTCTTCCCAACTTTGAGCATGTTAATTTAGTCCTTGTTCGTATTTGTTTTAGTGTTAATTAGGGTTAAGTCTCCAAATATGTAATACTTTAGTTTTCAGATCTATATGTAGATAACAATTTAATTTGACAATGAACCTACCTAGTTTAATTTGGATGCATTTTTTATTTCTAAATTTATTTTAATTTACATGCCATTTAGCTTGTTTAGGATTTGTTAATTTTGATTTACAGTAGTGTTTAAGTTTTTAGAGTTGTCTAAGACAGATTTAGTAACTCATTCTGCAGGAAGGTATCCCTTCTTCTTGCAAATCGTTTGTAGGCATAGATTTTAGTTTTAAACCAACGTTCTTCTTGTTATCCGCAATAAGGTCGATTCTAGGGAATGTGAGAGTCATTGGAAAAATTCTTCTTTCTTAGTTTTAGCAAAATAAATGGTATATCCACATCCAGATTCTGTACATGTAAGACTATTTGACGGTTTTTGAGGAAACAGTAGTAATAAATAATTTTTAGTAATTGTAAATAGATAAAGTGGGACAATTAATGTGTTTATTTTATAGAGATAATTACAATTTATATAATGGCTTTTTTTAAATAATTGCCATTTTTTAAGGTAAATGAATATTTTAATTTTAATTTTATTATTATTCATTTATTATAATTAGTTATTCTATCACAATTATATCTCTTTATTTTTAGTTTATTTTAAAAATAATATAAATAAATATTCAAATTCTTTTTAAAATTTTAATTAAAAAATGAGAGTTTCTTATTAATTAAAATTATTAAAGTTAAACAATATAATTAATTTATGATAAGACACATTTTAAAATAATAATAATAATCATTCGAAAGGGGTAGCATAAAATTACGACTTTAAGAAACTGTGATTTCCGATAAAACATCCTGTAAGACATTCGGCGCAAATTAGCAAAGTGGGCCACTCCTACAAAAGGCTTTTTAACAGAATAAAAAACAAAAAATTAAGCCGGAAGCCAACAAAGGCCAACATAATCGAAGCACGTGAGCTGTCAAAAATTTGCCTGCAAATTTCCAAACTTTTTGCTCATAGCTATCCTTTTGTTCTCTTCTGAATTGCATTCAATCGCCATTTTTAAAACTCCAAAAGCAAATTCATCCCAAAAGGAGTGTGCTTTTAAGTTAATTTTCACAGGGGTTTATGTGTTTTTAAAGACCCAGATTTTTGTTCCTGTTTCTGCCTCTACATCTGTGTAGAGTTTGGCAGTTTGATTTGGCCTCTACTTCTTTGGTTCTTTCTTCCATTGATCTTTAACTTCATTTCGTTCTTGTGGGTTTGAAGATTGGAAAAGGTAGGATAAAGGTGTGGGGGGAGGAAATAATGGTAGTGGCAACTGGAAGTTCAAGTGAAGAGTACAGCAGGGCTAGAAGCCAACAACAAACCCACATGGAATTTGTGGGGATCAACCAAGGCATATAGAAATTGAACTCCAGGTTTTCTCAGATCTCTAGGATCTCAGAATTTCACTGGTTGGAAAAGGGTGCTTGTTTCAGGAGAAAATTCCCTTCCTTGTGCCCTTTGTCTTAGCACATATGTTGCTCTTTCTACCATCTCTTATTCATGTTTTCTTTATCTGAGGTTGTTGGTTTGGAAAGGCAGTAATTTTAGCATCTGGGTTTTGTCAAGAAGTGGGATACTGGGGGGAAGGAAGAGCCTTTTTATGGTAATGGTGGGTTTGGTTTATTTGGCTCTGCGTCTGGCAGAGACCATTTTGCTTGGGTAGGAATTGCTTCATGTGAGAGTGGCTAGTCATTGTGATCTGGGCAGTGGATAATGATTGTGCAGAGAAAGTAAAGTTGAATTAGCTGAGAAAGAAAGAGAGTAGAATATATAGAGTATGGAAATAAGGAGTTTCATACTGTTCAAGCTGGGGTTAGTGTTTTTGGCACTGATGGGGATTTCTTCTGCTACTCTGTCTCCTTCTGGTGTAAACTATGAAGGTAAGCCTTTTATCCAGTACTTACAATTTGCTTAAAAATGAATTTTTCTTTCAGATATTGAGATAAATTTTTCAGGGATTATTTATATTGGAATTTGTTGATTTCTTTCTTCAGTATTCATGTTCATTTTATTTTCATTATCTATATTTCTAAAGTGAAATGGTTCTCTTGATCTTTTTTTTTTTTTTGGGTACAAAAGATAACATTTTTTTTAATCCTTTCTTCTTGAGTAAATGCTGTGATGGCCTGCAAGAATAACTGAACTACCTTGTACTCGTAATTGTTTTACATTCCTAACTGTTTAAACTCTCTCCTGATTGGACAGTTTTGAGCTTCAAAATCCTTGTTTTGGATTTATTGTTTTCATTTTTTATGGTTGTAATGTTGCTTAATAAGAATAAAAATGTCTAAATCTTGGAGAAGTCTATGGAAACAACCCTAACATTTTCTCCTTCTCATTGAAATTTGTGCAGTTGTGGCTTTGATGGCTATTAAAAGTAATCTGCACGACCCATATAATGTTCTGGAGAATTGGGATAGCACTTCTGTTGATCCTTGTAGCTGGAGGATGATTACTTGCACTCCAGATGGCTATGTTTATGCTTTGTAAGTTCTTTTTATCTCTTCACATCATGCCTACAGAATCCAAGAGATTTGAGCAGAGGAAATGAACAGAAAATCATTCATAATCCTTTCACTTCATATTCATATCTGGAGCATAATTTTGGGTGGGGGTTTTTACTTTCTAAACAGGGGGCTTCCAAGTCAGAGCTTATCTGGGACCTTGTCTCCAATGATCGGAAACCTCACTAATTTACAGACAGTGTAAGTGACTGCTTCTGTTATTGAATGCTTGTTCTGGTCTTTTGTGCATCCATGTGCATCTATATTATTCGATTTCTTCAGATGGAGCGCTAGGGGTATTCGTGGTGTGGTTTGATTCAAATTTTAATATTTTTTAAATCAATTCAATTTAATTGGTTAATAAAATTTTCAAACTAATCCAATCCATTATTATATGATAACCAAATTAATCCAACTTAAATCGGATCAGTGGTTTGATCAAATTGATAAGATTTTAACACTATTAAATATATGAGATAATGTAAAAGAAATTTAACCTCAAGTAGAAAACATAATTATAAAATATATTAATATCCAAATAAGTAAAAACATAATAAAAGATACAAATTATAAATAAGTTCTTACATTCTTTTACATTTGTAAAGATTGCAAAGATTTGAAAATTCATTTTGGCTACGTCATCAAAGACACCTAGAACAATAAAAGATGACTCCAATTTTTAAGTACAATACAAGCAATTCTTAAAGTTTAAAACTAATGTTTTTTTTTCTTAATACACCAACAATTCAATCTTATCTTTCAAACCCTGTTAAAAGTGAATAAAATTTAACATGAATATCGTTAGGATTGATTAGAAGCATTCATAATCAAGATTTAAAACTCAACCAAACATTCAAGAATAATAGAATATCAAGACCAGTTTTATCATGTAATCTTAAGATTTCTAGAATGATACTTCTTTAAAGCTCAGATAGGAGAATCAAAATATCATTTTAGGAATAAATTAGAAATTTAGGATTCTAAGAGTAGAGTCGCAAACCAGTTCTGAAAAGCAAAGTTACAAGTAAATCAGAAATTTAAAATTAGGGTTAGAGTGCATGATTACTAAGGAAAAATAAATTAGGGGATATAGGGATATTTTATTTTTTAATTAAGTTAATGGAATTATGATTTTGTAAAACAAGAAAAAGAAAATTTAAAATATTACAAAAAATATATTATATTATTTAATTAAGTCATCTCGTAATTAGGTTTTAATTTGTAATCGAGCGGTTCTTACAGGTTGAAGGTAAAATTACAAATCAAATCAATTATATCGGTTTTAAAATTTTATAATTCAAACAAATCCAATTTTATATTAGTTTGTTTTGATTTTTTATTAGATCTTGGATCGAATCAATTGGATTGTATCAGACGTAAACACCCCTATCCAGTCCTCAACTCGTTCACTTTCATCATATTACTAACATACATATTTGTCTTAATTTGTAGGTTGCTGCAGAACAATGCCATTTCAGGTTCAATTCCAGAAACAATAGGAAAATTGGAGAAGCTTCAGACACTTGATCTCTCGAGCAACAAATTCAGTGGTGAAATACCTTATTCTTTGGGGAATCTCAAAAACCTAAACTATTTGTAAGTTTTAACAAATTGATAAGAGGTTTATGGTTGTCTAAGCCTTCATTTGTGTCACATCCATGCATTCCTTTTTGGTCTTGTCTCTCACATGTTCTGTTTTGTTCATTGAGCAAATCAGGCGCTTAAACAACAACAGCCTTGCAGGATCCTGCCCTGAATCACTCTCAAATATTCATGGTCTTACCCTTGTGTATGTATCTGTACTTTTATAACCTGTCATTGGCTCCTTTTTTGTAAACATACCTGCAAATCTTGTATTTGGATGATATATTTTCCTTTGTCTTCATATTTATTCACTATTTTATGTTTAACCTTTTATAGGGATCTTTCATACAATAATCTGAGTGGCTCCCTGCCAAAAATATCAGCAATAACTTTCCAGTGAGCTATTGTTTACCCGTTGCAATGCTCATGTTCAAGAACAGTCCATTTAATTCTAATTAACTTCCAGTTCTCTTTTTCATTCTCAGAGTTACTGGTAACCCTTTAGATTGTGGTCCTAAGGGCAACGGCAACTGTTCTGCAGTCTTTCCAGAGCCACTTTCCCTCCCACCAGATGGGCTAAGAGGTGTCTGTCTGAGAGTTAGATCTAAAAGTTCTTTTTGCTCACATTACTATTCAATGTTGAAATTTAATGACTTGTTTGAATATCTGCATAATGGTTTCTTAGGTCAAGGGGACTCTGGAACAAAAGGCCATCGAGTGGTTGTTGCTTTTGCAGCAAGCTTTGGTTCTGCCTTTTTTGTCATACTTGTTATTGGATTGTTTGTTTGGTGGCGACGTAGACACAACCAGCAAGTTTTCTTTGATATCAATGGTTAGCTTTGTAAACTTTGTTTCTGTAGATACTATTCTCAAGTCAGTTGTACTATTTTGGATGCTATCTACGTACATGTGTGTGAAAAAATTATGAACAATGCTTTGCTCCATTCCCTTATCTCTGAATTTCAGCTTCTTACACATTGTTTTGGCAGAACAATATGATCCAGAGGTACGCTTGGGCCATTTGAAGAGGTATACATTTAAGGAGCTTAGGGCTGCCACGGACCATTTCAGCTCAAATAATATTTTAGGGAGAGGTGGATTTGGGATTGTGTACAAGGGATCCTTGAATGATGGAACTGTGGTTGCTGTCAAAAGGCTAAAGGACTGCAGAATTTCTGGTGGTGAAATTCAGTTTCAGACAGAAGTAGAGACTATAAGTTTGGCTGTCCATCGCAATCTTCTCAGGCTTTGTGGATTCTGCTCAACTGAGAATGAAAGACTCCTTGTTTACCCTTATATGCCAAATGGAAGTGTGGCATCGAGACTACGAGGTTCATTAACTGAAATCTTGTGTTTATTTTTCATTCTTGTTTTAAGATTTGCTAAGTTAATTATCACCGTTAATTGGTAAAAAGTCCAAAAATCTCTTAGTCGAAATGATCCTATGTGATCCTGATCCCATAAACAGAATGATGAATGCATCTTTGTTGGGCACTGCCCAAACTTTGAGCATTGTTATACTTTCTTTTTCACCCTGTTTGGCCTGAGAGACTAAGACCATGCCTTTGCTAGATTACTTTTTAAATGTACCCAACTTTTCCTAGTTTTAAGACATAAAGATTCTAAACCCCCTTGGCTATTTTCATTTATTGTATTAAGTATATTCTTAACATAGTCTGGCATCAATCATTCATTTTGCTATTCTCTTTTAGATCATAATATCCATGGCCGGCCTGCTTTAGACTGGGCAAGGAGGAAGAGGATAGCCTTGGGTACAGCTAGAGGGCTTGTTTATTTGCATGAGCAATGTGACCCCAAAATCATCCACCGTGATGTCAAAGCAGCCAACATTTTGTTGGATGAAGACTTTGAGGCAGTTGTTGGAGATTTTGGGTTGGCAAAGCTTTTAGATCATAGAGATTCTCATGTTACCACAGCTGTGCGTGGAACTGTTGGCCACATTGCTCCTGAATACTTGTCAACAGGCCAGTCATCAGAAAAGACTGATGTATTTGGGTTTGGCATCCTACTTCTTGAGCTAATCACAGGTCAGAAGGCCTTAGATTTTGGACGAGCAGCAAACCAAAAGGGCATAATGCTTGATTGGGTACCGTCTCTCCTTCTATCTGATATTTAATTTTATTAGGTTATGCATCATCAGAAACATGTATTGACTTCAACAATACTGAAAAACATAATAACTAGTTATCTTGGCCTGTTAGAATTTGCAAGTACAATGCATTTGATACTTGAATTTCAGCAATAATTTGTGATCTCTATCTTGCTATTTCTTCTCTGTGGTATATTTGTGTGCCTTAATTCTTAGAGACATGCCTAGGTGACTTGTTTAGCTTTATAACCACTGATGTCAGGTTTTCACAGTTGTAAAATTAGTGCACGGTCTTTCCATTACCAGGTTTGATTGCTGAAACTTGGCATTGTTTGTCTCACAAGTACTATTCTGCCTTGGATGATCAAATGTTTTGTTACTCAAGGTTGACTTGTTTTACAGGTACAGAAACTCCATCAGGAAGGCAAACTGAACCTGTTAGTGGAGAAGGACCTCAAGGGCAATTTTGACGGGATCGAGTTGGAAGAAATGGTACAAGTTGCCCTTCTATGTACACAATTCAACCCTACTCACCGTCCAAAAATGTCTGAAGTGTTGAGGATGTTAGAAGGAGATGGTTTAGCCGAGAAATGGGAGGCATCACAGAAAGTTGAGACGCCAAGGTTCCGATCTTGTGAAAACCTTCCTCAAAGATATACAAATTTTATAGAAGAATCCTCACTTGTGGAAGCAATGGAGCTTTCTGGCCCTAGGTAATGAACTCTCTTAAGCTTATTAGCTTTAAAAAAGCAAAAGCATTTTGATTGGTGCTAATAGTTTGTTGAGTGCTAGTATTCATCTTGTAAAAAGGAAAAATCAAAGTCTTGTATAAACATCTCGGTCTTCAATGGAAAATTAGTTCATGGTCGATCGAGCTTCTAGCCAAAAATTGCCTTCAAATCATCAAATCTGCTCATAGCAACAACTTACCATTATAATCTAGTTTCAGATTATATCTAAAAGTTCTGTTGTAAAAGTATGGTGGACACAAAGAGGTTCAGGTACTTTCTCTATTAGTGTTATATGATTTTCTGAGAAGCGAGAAGCCTGGTGTTTCTTGCTTGCCATAGATGTGTATGGTATAGTGTTAGCATTCCTCGTCATTCTTTTGTGATGTAAGGTTGACTGTTCTCAATAGATTGAAGACAAAGGACACACTGCTACAGAAGAATCTTCACTTGGAAGTTGGATACATTGTGTGTCATATTGTCATGTGGTGCATGCAAAGAATCGAGGAACAACCTACATATTAGAGCATCTGTAATGATAGTCTCTTAAATGTCATTTTATTTTTATTTTTATTTTTTTATTTAACCTATTCATGCTTCATATGAAGAAAACAATGTGAATTCATCAATTAACATGGATACGTAGTTAGCGTTTTTTTATCATAAACAATGAAACTTGTTATTCAATGATCTTATGAAGGATGAATGAAAGTCGAATGTTAATAATTAATATAAGGAGACGCAATCTGCCGCTCCATATATATACTGTTCAGATTACATCCCATTACAAAGAAACGTTCTTAAATTCTGTATTTCTATAACATGGGTCTAACAATGTATATCTAAACATTTAGCCCTACTAATTTGTTCTAGTTATGTTTACAGCATATTATATAATCTTGGGCTAAGGTCAATTTTGTTACTTGGCACTCTTTTTGTTTCGTTTTTTCTGAAACTGTTCACGTTACTGGATAGTCAATGCCCCTTTCTGGAAAGTTGGATGACCTAGATAAAGGAAAAAGAAGTACAAGGACTATAACGAACATTTTTGAGCAAGTACAAGGACCAAAATTGACATTAACCCTATAACATTCAATCATTGAATGATGATAATCAAAGCCAGACACACACGTGCTAACATTTTCAGACACGTGCATTAAGACAGACAAGTAAGAAACAGAGAACTTTCCGATCACATTATCATTACCGACATCATCAAAAACAGAAACTAACGGTAAACTGAAAAACAAGGACACACCGAACCGACACACACTTCACTCCGCTGCCGGCGGAGATCCAACACAAACCTTCAATTTTGTTACATTTTAAATGTGTTCCATGCAAAAAAAGCCTCCAATCACAACACTGATATATATGAAAAGGAAATAGATATACATATATATATATATAGCCATAAAAGACTCGATACCGAGTCCATTAATTGCCGTTCCGTGACTTGCCGGTTTGCCAGACATTAGCCAAAACCTCCGATCTGCATTGTATGATCAGTACTCTTTGTTCATCATCATGGCAGCGATCAGATTAGGCTGGTGGCTGATTAATACAGGCAAACTATGTATTGAAGAAGGGGGCCATGGAGGAAGAAATTCAATTCTAACTCTATAACTTTGTCTAAAATGTCAGAGTTATATATCTTACGTAGAATAACGAGTGACATAGTAGACTCTCTCCTTCACCCCCTTTAGACTTTATCGGGAACCCATCCCGGCCCCGGGCTGGGGATGGTTGCTTGCAACATGGGTTTAGTGATATGCTGGATGGGCTCCCTCAGAAGCCAGAGGGGGGGAAGACAAGTGCTAGGGTATAAGGGCTTAAATAGATTTTGAGAAGTGATGCTCAGAAAATGGAACTTTGATGGTATAAGTGATATAAACCAGCATGTATCATTTTTCACCTTTACCCTTCGTTATATCCAAAAGCAAACTAATAACGATATGTTAGACCAGTGAAAGGTGTTCAGTTTCCTTTAAATGAAATTCTAAATATAAATTTTATAAATAAAAAAATAGACATTAGAAGAGTTTTTTTTTAAATGGAATCTGATGTATTTCAATTCTGAATTAGTTGAAATCTGATATAATTTTCATATACCGAAAAGTTAGTAAAAAAAAAATATATATCCAAGAGCAAACCACTTTTACTTTTATTTTGAGAACTTCATTAAAAGTGGTATCCTTGGTTTGAAAGCTTTTTCCAAATTATTTGCATCTTGGTTCCATCATATGACAATCTTACCCTTGTCCAATGAAATTTTTCGAGAAGATGGGTTGGAAAAGTCAGCTGGGATCAGTGATTACCTGTTGTGATAGATTCTGTAAGATTCTATCATGATAAAAATAACTGTTATTAACAGTTCGTGGTTGGTTGCTTCATTTTTTTTTTCATAAAGGAATTTTTTAATTTATGTTTTTAGGATATAAATTAATTTTTATTAAATTTAATATTTAAAATTAATTTTATATAAATTTATATAATAAATTTAATTAAAATAAAATATAAAATGTAAAAATAAAATAAAATAAAATATTTTTACTTTGTAAAATATATAAATTTAATATAAAAATTTATACAAAATTAATTATAAATACTATAATTAATGAAACTTAACACATAAGATATGAAGTATAAGTTAGGGAAATCCTTCCATAAAAGAAGTAAGAAGAATCTAGTTGAAAATGTTGGGGGAGGATCAAGGGTATTGATGTCAAATGAGTACAAAGATGAAATAAAGGGACTTCTTTTCTATGGTGCATTGCTTTATGATTATTGGAGTGATATGTTGCTTTTGGATTGCACCAAAAGCTCCACTAACTCATGCTCATCTTAAATCTTTTTCAACTCCAAATACTCTTTTTGCCCACTAATCTAAATTTTTTGTGGTAGCCAAGCCACCAATTCTTTAGGGTCTTTGGGCTAGAGTTTTTGTTCAATATCAATCAGGCTGCCAATTCCTAAACCCAAGGGTGTGATTCAAGGTGTGATCTAAGGTGCGTTTTAACAGATAAATATTTAAAAGTTTAAATTCAAATTTTAAGAGTTAAGATCAATAAAAAAATTTTGAAAAAACAAAAAGAACCATCTCATGAACATATATAATGTATATGGTCTGCTCATCAAATGCATAAAAGAAAATTCATCAATTCCAATTTCCCAACCAAAGCTGAGCTGGTCTAGCTATCAACAGCCAAGCCATAGCTAATCCTTTTCAGTGCTGACTTGTTTTTGGGATTTGATTTCCACAGTGCTTTCCATTATCAATATATGAATCTGTGTCATGTTCTGAGTGGCATTTTTTTTTTTTTTTTGAGGTGGAAAAAAAGTTGATCATGGCCTCAGTCAATGAATTTAGAATCCAACTTGGAATTCTCTTTTTTAATGTATCTTCTTTTTAATCCTGCCCTACGACATTTAGAGCAAAAGTGCATGCAGTGATTTCCCGCTCAGAAATGCACCCAATTATAACAATTACACTACGTACCCACTCATAATTTTTAAAACTTTAATTTGCTTTCTCGATTTGTCAACTTCATCTTCTGTGTTCAGCCACTTTTTAGTTGATGCTAACATCATCATCCCTGCCTAATTATTATTTTTTTTTATCAGTAAAAAGAATTTTTATTGATTGGAGTACAAAGGTACCCAAACCCATTTACATTGAGAGTTTCTTCCCTATTAACTTATAAATTCATTGATTTATACCACAAAAATAGAGATATAAGAAGTCAAATCAAGGATTAATTCCTCAGCCTACATGCTTCCATTGGTGATTTTAGCCATGAATTCCAATCAAGATCAGAACAGATACTAGCTTTAATCCAAAAAAAAAGATCGGCATTTGACAAGCTCTATTACCTTTTCATTGTAGTTGCCTCCTCCTGAAAGATTTGGCCATTTCTCCATAAGGACCGTACAATGCAAAACCAGACCACTGCCCACGCCTTCTGTAAGCATTTGCTAGATATTAAGCCAAAATGTTGTGACATATGTTTCCAACTTGCTCTTTATTATACCACCTGTATGCCCCACCAATTGTAGCTTGAAGTCCAAATCAGCCATGAATTTTCACATTCAAATAATAAATGATCCGTGGTCTCAGGCATTTGTCCACATTGTGCATAAAAGGAGTCACTATTCTGAATTTTAACTCCTCTCCTCGACAAATTTTCATTTTTGGCTATTCTATCTTGTAGTGCTCTCCATACAAAGGCTGTCACTTTAAATGGAATGTGCTTATTCCAAATTGTTGTGTAAACAGCAGCTTCTGCTTCCCTTGGTTTTGATGACAACATTTTATATGCCGATCGTACTGAGTATCCTTCCTTGTGTCCATTTTTCCAAATCCAATTGCCTTGTTGCCCTTGTTTTATCTGCACGCCTGGTAATTCCAACTGAAGTTCCTACAAAAGATTATGTTCCCATGCAAAAAGAGGCCTCCTCCATCTCCATCTCCATTGCCACTCCCTCGCACTCCAATCTCCCATATCAGAAATTAAAGCATCCTAATCCTTCGATAGCCTATATAATCTATCATATTTTTCCTTAAGAAGGCCATTCCCTACCCATATGTTATGCCAAAAAAGAGTTTCAATTCCCTCACCAACTACTTTGAACACATTCATCCTAAACCATCCCTCAGTGTTGTAATCCTTATCTAGCTTCCATAAATCAGACCACCACCTTGAGCTACCCCCTCTCCATGGACCTCCCTCCCATTCATTTTTCCTATTAATATTATACTTCTCTGCTAATACCTTCCTCCACAATGAATCTTTTTCTTTTAACGACCTCCATCTCCATTTGCCTAATAGCACTCTATTGAACAATTCTACATTCCTTACACCTAGGCCTCCCTCCTCCCTCACTCTACAAATTTTCTCCCATGACACCCAAGCAATTTTGCGTTTATCCTCTCCCCCTGAATATCATCCTTGCCTAATTAAGATCTATTAGCCAAGAATATTCTGGATTGTCTTAATTTGAATATATAAATCATCAAGGAATAATATTAGGAGGGAATAGCCAATGATGAAAAAAAAAGGATTAGATTAATTTAGTAATATATATATACACATACGAAAATAATGTTTATCAGTCTCTAACTTTTATTAAAAATTAAAGTTTTAACTTTAAAAATACCACTCTTGAATGAATATTTTCAAAAACTAATTAAATTTAGTTTTCAAATAATGTAGATTATGTCTATAAAATTTCAAGTTAATTTAACATCTATAATTATTTGATAAAAAAAACTTATATTTTTTAATATATATTTAACGGTGATAAATTTTCTATAATCAATGAACTAGTTATATATATTTAATTAATCTAAAAATTAACAAGTATGATCTACATGATTAGAAAACTAAATCTAATGGCTAGTTTTAAAAATATTCATTGGAGAATATTGACTCTAATTTTTTTGAGACTAATGCACATTATTTTCATATGTGTATATATATATATATATATATATGTATCTATAGAGAGATTAGAAATGCATTTACACACAAGTTTTACATATTATATTTACACAAAATTTCAACCATTCATATCTTTGCTTTTAATGTTGACGATTACTTATACAAAATTTAAACCGTTCATATCTCTACTTTTAATGTTAGAAATATATTCACATTTATTAAAGATAATTATTTTTTTATCTAAAAAATCATAATAAATCTCAACTATTATAAATGAAAAAATGAATGGTTGAAATTTTATATAAATGTAATATGTAAAAACTTGTATATAAGTTGATTCCTCCTTATATAGATATCATAATCACTAATCAATTATTATTATTATTTTAGAAGTTTAATAGCAACACATCTATTTTAAAAATCATAGTTTCTAACATTATTTCTCAACTTCACCTTTTACAATAAAGATGATGTTTACAAATAAAAAAATCATTAGCACACCTTACAAAGTTACACATTTTATTATACATTGACCGTTTCTGTTATATGTGTCGTTAAATCTAACAGTTTCCGTTATTTATACCATTAAATCTAACAATTTCTATTACTTATACCATTAAAACCAACTGTTTTTGTCAATGTGTAATAGAATATGTAATTGTATAAGGGGTATATATCATTGTCCTTATAAATAAGCACATAGTTTGCTTCGATTGGATTTAATTATTTGTTTGCTTGTCTCTAAGATTGCTTCTTTTGAACATACAAAACCCAAAGTTATGTGAATACAGTTTTCTTAAAAATGCTGTATGGTTAACTTATCAATAAGGGATTAGTGGAGTAGTTAATTAAGGACATTTTGAGACTGGGGGCAAGGTGTAAGATTTCATGTGGGAATTCGGGTCTTGATTGTAATCATCCAATTTGCATTAGTCTTGTGAAAAAATTCTTGGCTATCAATACCCACTTTTGATCTGGTTTCTTGTCTTGGGCTAGCTCGAGTTCTAAAGCGATTTGGACCTGTACTAAATCCATGATTGAATATCAGCACTATCTATTTATGGTTGCTGTCTTTTTCACAATAATTGCCAGGGTTTACTACAAAGCTCATGTGAATCTGTGATTGCCTAAAATAAAAGTGAAATGTTTTCCTAATTTTCAAAAGTGAGGAGATTGTGCATTTTATAACTATTAATGAATAATAGACCACCCCGATATTAAGGAATCCATTTCTTCATTTAATGATTTTAATATGTGTAATCTGTTGAAGATGGACTGCACTATGTTATATTATAGTATAAAATTCATATAGGAGTTGACTTGAAAGAAGCGCATAAGTTTCGATAT